GGCACGAGGAAAGTGTCCCAGACGCCGAGCTGGTTGCCCCAGTCGCGACTCGGTCCGCGTCCCCAGCCCTAATCTCCTGGGGGAAGAGACAGGGACCCTGTTCGCACTTTTTTGTACCCGGAGGTTCTAAACTCTAGAACTCCGGGGTTGGAGGAGTGGCAGGCTGGGGCTTAGGAGGCGCCTGGACTCCTTGGTCCGAAGGAGGCAGCTGGGGACCAGGACGCTTAGTCTGAGGGTGGAGACAGCTGGGGACACACTCCCGGTCCTGGTTGGATCAACCTGCGCTCTTTTTCACACCCCAACCTTCCCATCTCCCCGTCTCCCAGCCAGGGCAGGCAGCCACTCCAGGTATGTGCAGTAGAAGTCTTGGGCGGGCCCTGGCCTGTCCCGTGAGGAGGGAACATTCCAGGAAGCAGCCTCGGGGACCCAGGGCTTCTTGAGTGTGGGCCCTCAGGACCTGGGTGTCCAGGCCAGGCCAGCCCCGCCCCCGCCCTGTCTGGGAGATGAATGGGAGGAGGGGAGATGTAATCTTTTCCAGTCTCCTTCATCTGCAGCCTCTCCCCTCCCCTCTTCTCCCCCATCTGCTTCCCATCCTGCCAGAAGCCATCACCTGGGCAGGGAGGGGGGATCTGGGAAGGGGCTTGGCGTTCACTGTCTGGGAAGGGGGTGCTCAGGGGCTCAAGCCCCTCCCCCACCTGCCTATATAATCTGTCTGTCCCCTTCTTCCCTCAGGTGGTTGCCCCCTCCCTCTCCTGAGATGTCAGGAAGGAGGGGGCCACCTGTGTCCTCCACAGGGTCCCCCAGCCCCGGAGCCTCAAGGTGGAGGAGGTGTTGACAGGTCTGGCAAACACCTGCTGCTTCCCAGATTTCTCCAGGCTTCCAGAATGTTGTAGACAAACAGCTATAACCACACCCCACCAGCCTCTCCCAGCCCAAGGTCAGTTTCATACTCAGGAAAAATGAGGACAGACATGAGATGGGAAGTTAGTGGTAATTTGGGGCTGAAAATGGGACTCCCTAGGATTCCAAATTCCAGGTTTCAAAGTTTTGGACTGTCCTCCAAGCTACAGGACTTAGGATTCCTGGGGGTTTTAGAGGCAGGAGGGCCAAGTGGAGTTGCTCAGAGTTCAAACCCCACCTCTGCCATTACTGGCTGTGAGACCTGGTGCAAGTCAATAACTTCTCTGAGCCTGCATTTCCCCATTTGATTGGCTATGAAGTAAAAGTAATTGAATAATTATTATTAATTTACAAGTTGGGCATTACCCAAGTCTGAGAACATAGGGTTCCCCTAGGGCTTTCCTAGTTCTAGTATATAATCCCCCTGTGGTTCCCACCTTCCGCTCCTTGGAGATCTCTACCTCTTCTCTAACCCCAGCCTCCCTCTGTCTGTCCTCAGGTGCCCGAGAGATGCTCCCCCACCCCTCCTACTCCCTCCCCATCCTCCTGCTCTTCTTCCTCCCCAGTGTCCCAGCGGAGCTCCATCCTCCACCCTCAACACTGCCCCCATTTCTGGCCCCTGAGTGGGACCTTCTGTCTCCCCGAGTAGCCCTGTCCAGGGTTGCCCCTGCTGGACCCCCTCTGCTCTTCCTACTGGAGGCTGGGGCCTTTGGGGAGCCAGCGGGTGCCCCAGCCAACCGCAGTCGGCGTGGGGTGAGCGAGAAGGCACCAGCAAGTCGACGGGGTGAGCTGGCTGTTTGTGACGCAGTGAGCGGCTGGGTGACAGACCGTCGGACAGCTGTGGACTTACGTGGGCGAGAGGTGGAGGTGCTAGGTGAGGTGCCTGCAGCTGGTGGCAGCCCCCTCCGGCAGTACTTCTTCGAGACACGTTGCAAGACTGATGGTGCTGGGGAAGATGGTCCTGGTGCAGGTGGAGGAAGCTGCCGGGGCGTGGACCGGAAGCACTGGGTGTCCGAGTGCAAGGCCAAGCAGTCTTATGTGCGGGCATTGACTTCTGATGCCCAGGGCCGTGTGGGCTGGCGATGGATACGAATTGACACTGCCTGCGTCTGCACACTACTCAGCCGGAATGGCCGGGCATAAGGCCCATGCCCAGAAACTGATCAGGCAAAGAAGAGATCTGGATGCTCAGGGACTTCAAGGATGGCCTGGCTGCTCTAAGGGCCTCAGTTTGGGAACTTAAGTGATCACAAAATCAAAGCTCTCTAATTTTAAGATCTCAGTCCATGCAGGATGTACAACTAAAGCAAATGGGGTTTCAAAGAATAAATAGGACTTCTCCTGAAGGAGCTTGAAAGGTAATCATGGAAATAACAATAATAGCCAATATTTACTGAGTGCTTACTGTTTAATCAGCCCCAATACATTACTGCTCAGATTGGTTCTCATGGATTTGACCATCAGAGGCCCTTGTTTTTTTTTTTTTAATAACTTTATTTTCATGTGGTGCTCAGGATAGAACCCAGTGGCTCACATGTGCTAGGTGCTCTACCACTGATCCACAACCCCAACCAGAGGCCCTTGGTTTTAAGTTGCTGACCTCTCAAGCTCAGAGGACATTGCCTTACCCACTCTGGAGAGAGGGACAAGGAAGGAATGTGTCAAGAAGTGGGTGGTAGCTGAGTAGAAACTGGAACATGCAAGCAACTAGCCAGAGGACCTTGAGAAACATGGTCTATGGAAGGCTTTTAATTATCTGGGAGCATACTTTCAAATGAGAACTCCTTCTTGGTCAGAGGGCAAATGTTGGCTTAAAAAGGGTATTCTGTTTTGAGGTAGTAGGCCAGCTGCCCATCACAGTGGGAGCACACACGGGGTTGTATCATAAGAGGAACTATCAGGATGATGCGGGATCCTCCAACCCTGGCTGGGGAGTTGGATTCAGGTTTCTAGCTCCACTTTCCTGTACCAACCTCTACCCCACATTGGAAATGGAATATGTCTTAAAGTTGTCTAACTTGAGTAGGCTCTGACAGTTGGCCTGCCCTCACCTGGGATAAGGGCTCAGTGGACACTGAGAGGCTTTGAGTAGGACCAGGAAAATCCAACAGTGTCTTCGAGGTCTGGATGGTATGCGGGGGGCGGTGGCAATGAACCCTGGGCCAGGCTGCAGAAGGCAGCCTCAGTTTTCCCTGTCTGAAGATAGAACTGGTGGATGAAATGATGGGGGGCTGAGGAGGCAAAAGCCTTGACCAATAGCTCATTTTAGTGAGGAGGTGACAAGGGAAGTCCCCACACTCTCAAAATGCCCATGTATTACCACTGCATTGTCCCACACCTGTGTACATGTGTAGGCACTCACATGCATGCATGCGCGCCCCCGCGCGCACACACACACCCCCACACACCCACAAATTAGGTCCAGCTTTGTGCTAAGGACCTAGATAGCCCTGCCCCCCTCCATGGCCTGAGACTAGCCCCTGGACAGGACAGGGTTTGCTGCCTGTTTCTACATCTCCTTGATTCCTCTCTTTTTTGTCATCTCCCTCTGTCTCTCTAATTTCCTGTGTCTCTAGTCTCTTAGTAGCACATGCTTTCCCACCCCCCTTTTCCCCTCAAGTATTTCCCTGTGGATTTCTCTTGGGGTCTCTTCTCTGCGCTCCCTCCTCCTATACCCAGGTGGAAGTTTTCAGCCAAATCAAAGGCAGGCAGGATGGCTGGCGGCGCCGCTGCTCCTTCAGCACACATGGGTGGAGGGGAGCGACCCTGCGGTCTGGAATTCGTTACTCCGAGGTGGGCAGGCCTGGCAGAGGGGGAGGCATCTGGAGGGTTTGAACCCTATAGGAAAGGGGGTATTTCTGAAGGATTCCTTGATGTGCTAAGAGGTCTCTCTTTCCTCCTGCCTCTCTTGAGTCTGCTTTTTGGCGTCTGCCTCCCTTCTCCCCCTCCGAAACTCTCCGATCTCCTTCTCTCCTCCCCCCCCTCCGCCTCCGCCCCCTTCCCTCGTTTGGCCCGCCCCTCCCCTTCCCTCTCCCCCAGTCTCCACACCCTCCCCGTGTATCGGTTTCTATGCCCCTATTTGGGGCCCTGTCCACCTTTCTCAAAGTCTCTGTCTCTATCCCAAGTGTCTCCATCGATCCAGGAGCCGGCTGGTCCTTCATTGGCTGGGTTCAGGGTGGGCGGATTCTGTCACCTGGCAACAGCAACAACAAGCCAGCTCCAGCTAGGCCGCCGGCTGGGGGGTGGGACCATGGCGAGTAGGACCCTAGCCCTGCGCTATGGCCCCCCGTGGTCTCCCATTTCTGGAACCGAGGTGCCTGGATCCTGGCCGGATTGGCATCTAACCAGCAGTGGCGTTGCCCACCACATTATCCCCTCCGCGCCCTTTCCCCCGCCCTCTGTACAGGTGAGAGGACCATAGACGGGCTTAATGATACAGAGACCTGGGTGCTGAGAGAAAAGGGGATTGGGGGTTTGGACCCCTGGCTGTCGGAGGAGGGTCCTGGAGTCCTGGGCCTGAGAGAGAAGGGGTCCGGGAACCTGGATGCTGAAGGGACCACGGGCTGAAGGAACTGGGACAGGGGGCAGGGCGGACTCCTGAGTCTTTTTGGCTCATTTGCTGCGCCTTCTCCTCAGTCCACGGTCGCTGAGCCCCTACCCCCCGCCGCAAGGCATCATTTACACATCTGGGATTTCGACGAAGTCATCAGCAGATGGGAGACGACCTACAGTTCGGCCCATGTGCCCAAAAGCCTGGGTGGGCCCTACGCTCAGCCCAAAGCCCCAGAGCCTGCGGACCCCATGCGTACACTAGGGATTAAGACCTTAGGAGAAAAAGTAAGGTTCTGGGATTCTGGAGTCCATAGGAGGATAGGGTTGGGGACCACAATGGAGTCCCCTGTCCTCACCTTGGTTCTCTGGGTCACCTTCGTGCAGCTCAGACACCGAGGCTGGCGCCTCCCCTTGATCACAAAACACCACAGCAGCGAGACCAAGGCACAGTACAGGGGTTGGCCCAGCCAGGACCAGCGCGTCGTCTCCTACGTCGGGCCCCAGCCCTTGGAGCTGGCAGACCACCATCGCGGGGGCCCTTCCCAGGTAGCGTAGTGGCAGACGGTGCTGGTGCTACCACGCAGAGTTTGGAGCCTCTGGGGCAGGGTCGGAGGGGCTCTGAGGTTAGGGAGCAGGCTAGGGAATCCTGGGGCTGAGCCAAAAGGAATTTTGCTTTTCTGGCATGGTTAAAGGATGTAGAGCCAAAAACGGGATACAGAGGCTGGGGCGGGGCTTGGGCCTTTTGAGGCGGAGCCTAAAGGTGGTAGGGACGGCGAGGCTGGTGCAGAGCTAAATAGAAGCCTTAGGCTGGTGAGACCGGACCAGGTGGCTCTCTGTCCCTGGGGACGAGACTAGAGTATTCTGAGACCGGGTAGGGATGGGAGGTGAGATTAGGTTTAGCTGGCGAGGAAAAGGTAAAGTGGAATTGTTGCCTAAAATACTGCTGAGTTCCAGTAACAGAACCAAAAATGTTTGGTAGTGGAACTGGGGGGAAGGTATGTTTTACTTTGTTGTGGCTGCGGGTTTGGATTTAAATTCCTTGACTAGTAAGAAGTGTTTGGATTGGAGCAGGAGGGCTCATAAAGGTTCTGAATTAAGGAGCGAAGCTAAAGTAGTCTGGTGTGGGATTGGTCGGGAGGAATTCTGATCTAGGGCACAGTAGTAGGGCCTGGTCCAGCAGGGATGTTGAGACGGAAGAGCCTGTACCCCGGGCTTGGAACCGGGTACTTGGCATCTTTCTTGCCCATCCCCCACCCAATCTCCCTCAGGCCCTAATTCCCTGGACGAAGAGCTCTGAGCTGGCTGGCCGGCCTTTCGCAATATCCGACAAGGGAGTCCTGGACCACAATCAGCTCTATCTGACCACCTCTGCCCGAGACTTCCGCTTCTACACTAAGTGAGCCCACGTCCTTGCTAGGAACCACCCTGCAGCACATCCCTGTAGATGCCGGTGGGAGCCCAGTCCTCTTTTCTAACTCAACCTTCAACTCTTGCACACTCAAGAACCGAAGTTCGGACCCTAGCCTCTACCTCCATTAGCATCTAGGTGTTCTTAACTTGGTAGGTTAGGAAGCCTGCAGAGAGCTCGTGAGAGGGCTTTGGATTTGGGGGCGGGGTCCTGATGGCTTAGGGTGGAGCTTCTTTCGGTATTTGAGCCCCCAGATATTCCTTCCCAAGGATGAGAAAACACCAATTTCCAGGCCCTTAAGTACCTCAACGACCCAGGAATCCGGATTCCATGTCTCCGGGTCCCCTTCCTAAAGCTTCTACAAACGTGTCCCTCCCTCGAAAAGCAGAAAGTTCAGGTCTGCGGTCTCCTTCGGATCAGAGGTTTGAAGCTCAGCCTGGTCCCAAGGATGCAGCCCTCCCCATGCTGCCTCCCTCCCACAGGAAGGAGCTGTCCGGATACCCCTGCAAAGACACGCTGACCTACTGGAAGTTCCAGATGCCTCAGGTCCAGGGCCACGGCTTGCAGCGGACACAGTTTTCTCGCTTCTCACTGCCGCCCGGACCACCGCGGGCCCGCTTGCCCCACGTGCGCCCGGGGACTCCAGCCGTGCCGCACCGCGGGGCCCTGACTCTGGCTCAGGAGTCCTACAGCCCCCCGGCGCACCCACTTCACCGGCTTGACCGCTTCTGCCCAGTGGAGGCGCCTTGGGGTGGCCCCCACTGGAAGCCCTTGCCCGGCATCTACAGCGTGCCTAAAGCCTACCGCACCGAGAACTCTCGCTATGGCAGTTTGAAACCAGAGTTAGTCTGAGCTGGCCGGGCCAGTCCAGTCCCCGAACCCACCTGCTAAACTGTGAGGTGGAGCCAAGCTTAGGAGCCCCACCCATTAGGTGGGGCCGAGCCAGACACGCCCACTCCTTTTGGGACTCCAGGAAACTTGTATTGAAGCTGAGCAAAAGGGACAAGTCCTCTGTAGAAGAGGGGGTGGGTCCTAATGTAGTCGGATGAGTTAAATAACCTAAATCACACTCGTTTCTGGGGCCTTAACCTCTGAGAATGTGGGTGTGGGGGAGATGCTCAGCACAGAAATTTAGAAGCTTTCTTTGCATAGAATCTAATACTGAAGCTCCCCAACCCACTCCTGTAGGACTCTACCAGGGGAACCCTGTCTTTCAGCCTGTCCCAGTGCAGCAGAGTTGTGGCTTCAGCCAAGAACCTCTGGCTTAGAGTCTACAGCCTTCCTCCTGTGATGGGCCCAGGGATATTTTTTTTGGGGGCGGGGGTACGGGGAATTAAACTCAGGGGCATCCAACCACTGAGCCACATTCCCAGCCCTGTTTTGTATTTTATTTAGAGACAGGGTCACACTGAGTTCTTAGTGCCTCACTTTTGCTGAGGCTGGTGATTCTCCTGTCTCAGCCTAAAGAGCCCCCTGGATTAACAGGCATGCACAACCACACCCAGCTGGCCCACTTCTTGTGCTTCCAACAGGGACTAGGCTCAGGTCTGAGTCTGTGCCTTCACCATCACTGTGGTGACTCACCCCTGCAACCAGAGTCACCAAGGGGAGGAGCAGAGCACTCCTGTGCTTCCCTGACCTTGTCTGTCTCTCGCCCCCAGGGGGATTAGTGTCCAGGTTACCCCAGCTTGCTGCCACTGCTTAGTGGCCTTGCCGCCCCCACAACCTACAGGTATAAAGCCAGGTAGAGGAAGTAGGGGAGGCATCAAGAATGGAGATGCTCCAGGTAAGATTGTAGGGCCCTTGGGCACCTCCCAACTCCACCCAGGCCACAGTTGGCATAGAGGGAGTCTTGTGACCTGTGAAGGAAGCCTCTTTCTAGCAGGGTGACAACCAGCAGGCTTCCTGCAGGAGGGAAGTGGGTGGAGCACACCTGAGGGTAGGTATCTTAACAGCTGGGGCATCTGGGGTCCCTTGGGATGTGGGGTGGACCCTGAGGGCCTGTGTCAGGGATAGAGGATCAAAGCAGAGAATGTTCTGAATGGAGACACTGGGCAGGACCCCTGGTCCTGAATGTGTGTGTTCAGGAGACTGGAGGGCAAGGGCTGAGGTCTCAGGCTGGGCCTGAGGCACTGGCCTTGTCCCAGGGGTTGCTGCTGTGGCTGCTGCTGAGCATGAGTGGGGTGTGGGCCTCTAGGGGGCCACTTCGGCCATTGTGTCGGCCTATCAACGCCACCCTGGCTGCTGAGCACGAGGCCTGCCCAGTCTGCATCACCTTCACCACCAGCATCTGTGCTGGCTACTGCCCCAGCATGGTGAGCTACCCAGCAGGCAGGACAGCACTTCTGGCCTGAGGAGGGGGCTGCCACTTCAGTTGCACACCCACACAAGACTGGAGGTGGCAGCAGGGTGGATGGATGGTCTGGCATCTGGGGCAGGGGGACGGGAGTTAGTGCTGGGTGTGTGGAAAGGTGGTGGGTGATTTCATGGTCATCTGAGACCAAGACTCGATGCCAAGCAGATGCTCATTGCCGCCCACATTCTGCCCCCAGGTTCGGGTACTGCCAGCTGCCTTGCCACCTGTGCCCCAGCCAGTGTGCACCTACCGTGAGCTGCGCTTCTCCTCCATCCGGCTCCCTGGCTGCCCGCCTGGTGTGGACCCCATAGTTTCCTTCCCAGTGGCCCTCAGCTGCCACTGTGGGCCCTGTCGCCTCAGCAGTTCTGACTGCGGAGGTCCCAGAGCTCAACCCTTGGCCTGTGACCTTCCCCAACTTCCAGGCCTCCTCTTCCTCTAAGGGCCTCCCCTCCCAACTCACTGCCCACCCCAGCTTCTGGAGCCCACCCGTGCTCCAGTCCTCCCCGCCCAATAAAGGCTTCTCAATCTGCACTCCGTAGGTGTCCTTCTGTGGGCTCAGGGCGGCACACACACAGCACACCTTGGGTTCAGTTTTAAAACCATTTTATACAAAGTCACAGTGTCAGAACTCTGGTAGAAAACAGGGCGGGTACAGAGGCGGCATCCAGCTCAGGAGGTATCCATGGTTTCACCTTCTGTGGGGAGAAGGGAAGGAAGCCACCTGGTCAGTGTGGCCTGGAGACAGGGCCTGAGTTCTCCCACCAAGCTCCCCATGCTGCCCATCAAGAGCGACAGTGGGAGCACTGGGCACAGACTAGGGACACTCACTGAGCTCATTGAAGAGGAAGGCATCCTGGTACTCCTTCATGTACTGCGTGGAGCGGGACTCGTCCAGGAAGAGTGAGTAGACCCGCTTAATGTCGTCTACCTGCACCTCTGTGCCCTAAAAATGGAGGGCAAGTCCTCAGTGGGCCTTCCCCAAGAGGCCCAGGGCACACAGACCCCAGCTCAAGCCACTGCCACATCCCAGGCAACAGAGGCTGGCAGACAAGGGAGAGGATCCTGGGTCAGATCTCCTGGGTTCAAATCGGCCTCATCCACCTTTTGATGAGCAGACCAGCCTCTCTGTCCTTCAATTTCTTCCTCTGTGAGATGAACTTAGGATCTACTTATAATTAGTATTTACTGAGCACCTACTATGTGCCTGGACAAGAGATAAAGAAACAAACACTAAGTGGGGCTGGGGATATAGCTCAGTTAGTACAGTGCCTGCCTTGCGTACATAAGGCCCTAGGTTCAATCCCCAGCTCTGCCAAAAAAAATAAAAAGAAAAATGAAACAAGCAAACACTAAGGCACTAAGGATAAAAATTCCCTGCCTTTGAAAACATATACTCTGGGACTTAATATAAGTCCCCACTGAAAGCCCTTGAGGAGTGGGTCATTCATTCAATCTGGCCCCTGCTGGCTGACTCAGCTGGCTGACCTTGCGTTTCCGGCACACCAGGCTAGCAGCTGTGATGAGCTGGATAGCATAGCGCAGGGAAGTCTCCAATCCGATACGGGTTAGCACTGTATAGGCGTCTTCGCTCATCTCCACGTCTTCCTCTTCACACCTGCAGGCGGGTGGGCAGGGGACAGACACTCAGCCAGAGCTGGGCCTCTGACTGCAGGATCCCCCTGGCTCTTCACCCTTGGGGTACAAGTAGAGCATGAATCTCAGAACCACAGGTTGCTGAAGCTAGAAGAGCCACTGAGGCAGGGTGGGCCTGGACCTCCTGACCCTCAATCTAAGGCTTTCTTCCCCATATCAGTCACCAGTACCTCCTCTGGGTCAGATGTCACTGCCAGGATGCCCCACTTAGACTTCTCTCCACAGGCCCAGGCAGGCCCCGCCCAACCTTACTAAAACAGGGAGGGCACGGGGCCACCCAACTTACCGAATGCGGAGGATCTGCTTTGTGTCCTTCTCACTGTAGGGAGAGGTGGAGACGATAAGCAGCCGGTCCAGTAGGTCAATGGGGATGCCATGGGGGCTCTGGTAGCTGGTACCCCGGATCCTGGGGAAGACAGCAGGAAGGGCTGTCAGGTGATGTTCCCAGAACCCAGCTTTCTGTTCCCATTTCTCAAAATATTCCTACCTACCTATCCATCACAGCCCACTCTGTGGACTAAATACCACGTAACCTTCAGCTCCTCGCTTACATCACCTCCTCACTGCACAGCCTTCCCCAGCTGCGTCAATCCCCCGAGCACCCTCCTCAGCTGATCCTAGGTATCTACACCAGGGATTACTGGATCAAGGTCCCACTTCCTGCTCCACACAAAGCTCCAGAAAGAAAAGGACCATGCTATCTTGTTCCCTGCTACACCTGGGAAAGTACAGGCCTGGCTCATGATAAGTGACAGGAAATAAGGCAATTCTCAATACTCATGGCAGCTGCATTGTAAAGTCACTGGTAACATACAGAGCCACTGCTCCTGAGGAAAAAGGCAGGGTTAGGTCCCTGTGAGCCCTGGTCACCACACTATCACCAACCAATCATCACCAAGTCTCCGTGAGAACATGCTGTGGACCTCTCACACTGAGCTCCTAGCCAGCAGCACTGCCACTCATGTCTGCTTGAGGCCCAGTGCATACCTGCAAGGCTCATCCCAGCCTTCCGGTGCTTACGAACACTAAGTGCACCTTAGCACTAAGCTCAAGGGACTTTTTAACTGAAATCACCAAACCAAGCACAAAGTGACAAACATGGCACTAAATTGTTCAGGAAAATGGCACTGGTTTACAACATGGGAGCTGAAACAAGCAGGCAGAGTGACACCCAGCAGCTTTGGCTGAGATTGTGGCATCAGGAGGTTTTAATTTGCCACTCTGTGCACACCTGTGACAGCAAGTGGACCCTGAAAAATTGATTTGGGGATTATAGATAAGTGTTAGCAAGCAAACAGATGCATGCGTTGGGACTGTAGCTCAGTGGTAGAGCGCTTGCCTTGCTCATGTGAAGTACTGGATTCGATCCTCAGCACCACATAAAAATAAATAAAGATATTGTGTCCATCTACCACTTAAAAAAAATTAAAAGAAACAAAAAAATAGATTCATAAACACGGAATCTGCAAACTGGTCAGCATCCTCCCAATGCCCCGGAGGGTTTCAAACCCTGATCTGCAGCTACTGCAAACACAGGGCTCAGAGCACCTCTTCAGGCTCTGATACAATTAGATGCATCACCATAACAAGTCACTGCTGGTCTGGTCTGCAAATTGAGGTTGAGCTGATATCTACCTTCTGATTTTCTTTTGGAGTTAGAAATGGAATCTGGGGCCTTGCACACACTTAGCATATGTACAGCACTGAGCTAATTCCCAGCTTCCTCCTGAACTTCTCTGAAGGTTCAAGAAGTCCATCCAGGAATAGAGCCAGATAAAGCTGCCACTGCCTTGTGCAGCTGTGTCTCCCACTTCCCTTAGTGATACCACGCCCATATCCAGCTTCAGCTGGGCATGTGGCACTGGAGACAACACTCCCTGGGCTCCCTTGCAGCCAGGCACAGCCAGGCACAGCCAGGCACCCAAGCATGGAAGTGCTGGTACAGCCTCCAGACCAAATTCTCTTTCTTGCAGGCTGCCTGCTCGCCTCCTCCGTTCCTATTCCTGTGATTCCAAAGGTGGATGAGGTGGAGAGCAGAGCCAGCTGGGACCACAGTAGAATGCCAGTAACACCTTAGGGTAGAGGGTTTTACCCGAACGTTGTACCCTGTGTGTCTCAGGAATATTCCACAACTTCTTTAGGTAAAAAACAATACTAAGAATTTTGATGACTAAGTATTTAACTCTAAGTCACTTAATTGATTATAGAGGTTTATGCAGCATCTAAGGTATCACTGTTCTCCCCAAATTTAAAAAGCCCTTGGAGTACCCCAGTGAATGACCTGCAGCACTGGGCTATCTCTGCATGCAGCCCGGGAACTGAAGCCTAAGGGCTACAGGAGCAGCAAGGCCTCCTTGTGGGGCAGAGCTGCCTGTGGCCCTGAACCATGGCCTAACTAGAAGGAAAAGTTCACCTTTCATGTGTGACCACTGTGGTACTGAGGGCCACTGTGCTGCCTCCCTGAGACTACTCCCGCCTAGAGCACCCTGTCACCAACATAAGCATCTGCAAGCACTCACCTTGTGATGCCACGGTTGGTAGCCATGATAAGGACAGGCGCCATGTCACTCTCCAGGGCCCGGTTGAGGAAGGAGAAGCTCTCAATGTCCAGCATGTGTACCTCATCGATGAATAGCACCTGGAAGCCATTGGGCACGTGTCACACTCACCATCTGTTCACCATACCTGCCCAGGACCCTGGCCACTGCTCTGGCCACTCACCCCAGGGATGATCTCTGCCTTGCCTTCCTCACGCCACTCAGCCACCTTGGCATTGATCTGCTCACGGACTTCTGACTTGATCTCCCCTGTGTCACCTGCAGGAGACAGGTGGCATCATGGAAATCAGAGGAGACAGGTCCAAGGCTGACGGGTGGGCAAATAGAAAAAGATGGATGCCAGGGATGGACGAAGGTGAGAAAGACCAAGGTGGTAAAACAACCAAAGAACCAGGAAGTCTGAAATAGCACCAGTGAGGAAGGAAAGAGGACAGGGTCTGCCCATTTCATACCCCCTGAGAGAGGGACTTGGATGGCAATAACGGAGAAGAACGAACCAAACTCATTGAGAAAGAACAGCAGACAGCTAGTAGGGGCCGAAGGAGAGAAAGTCAAGGAGCAGAGGTGTCTGAGGAAAGATGCTGACCTGAGAAGAGAGCCAGGAAGCCCTGGGTGCGGGAGTTGATGACATCGATCTCATGCAGGGACACAGTGTGCACCACCTCCTTGCGTTTCTGGAGCTCTCCATCTGGGCACTGCACAAACTTGGTCTACAGGGCAAGGGTGGGGTGTGAGGGCAGAGAAGGGCATGGTGGGGGTCGGTCTAAGGGAGACTAGGTCCTTGAAGAGTACTGATGGTTATGGGGTTCCCAAAGCTTTGGACACCATGGGCAGCCTGGGGCAATGCAGAGCTACAGTACTAGGCTGAGAGGTCCCAGCTACCCTAGGGTTAAGGGAACACCCAGGAGTACCAAAGGGATACAAGGTCAGGATGACAGCAGGGCTCCATGGGCTAAGGAGTGGGAGAAGAGAAGGAAACATCCGAGGGCCCCATTTGCACCTGGGAGCCCATGGCGTCATAGTCACGGGCACGTGTGAAGGAGCGACCCAGCTTGGAGATCTTGCCTGTGGCCTTGTCGATGGTGATCACATCCCTGCACCAGGAAGAACAGGAGTGAGGAAAGGAAAGGACCTAAATTTCCCCCCAAACTCCAGCTACTCAGTGCAGTCTCCAGCTGCTCACCCGGCCTGGACTTTGTCCTTGGTCAGTGACTCAATCATCTTGGTGCCCAGGTCGTAGATAGTTTCCATCTCTGTGGTCTTGAGGGTCAGCTTGCCCACCTTGGAACCCTGAGAAAGTGACAAGCCAGGGAAAGGGCT